TGTGCCACCAAATATATATTTGATATTTTATCAGTAAAATTTTGAACTAAACAACAAATCAGCATAAATTCATATTTGAATTTCATAGTAAAAAAGTTTGCTTAATAAAAATTTTCCAGCAATATAGTAATACGATATAGTAATATATATTGTTCTCCTTTAGCTATGCAAATTTTTAATTTTCAAAATTATTAATAATTAAGCATATTTTACCTGAGAAATGAAAGACTAATTATTTATTAAAATGATTAATTATTAAAAATTGTGAATTTTAAATAAATAATTGTTTCAATTACTAATAATATTTAATTTCAATAATCACTAATTATTTATTAAAAATCGAATTTCTCATATAAAAGGACGAAAAAAAAGATTGCTAAATACAATTTGCGTATAATTGACAATAATTAGCGTAGGAAAAATAGCAAGAGAGAAAGAGTGAGGGAGTAAGGGTAGGGAAGAGAAGAAAATAAGGAAAGAAAAAACGAAAGATAAACTGACAAATGATAAGCTATTATCAATAATATTTATTTAAAAAGTATAAAAAACTGGACAGGATGAAATGGAAGGAAGGAAATTTATTATTTTCACTTTCTCATGCTATTTTTGATAGCGAATTGTATTTCGATGTGCCTAAATTGAAATGAATCGTATTTTGGTGTGCCTAAATTGAAGTGAATCGTATTTCGATGTACCTAAATTGAAATGAATCGTATTTTGGTGTACCTAAATTGAAATGAATCGTATTTTGGTGTGCCTAAATTGAAATGAATCGTATTTCGATGCACCTAAATTGAAATGAATCGTATTTCGATGCACCTAAATTGAAATGAATCGTATTTCGATGTACCTAAATTGAAATGAATCGTATTTTGGTGTACCTAAATTGGAATGAACTGTATTTTGGTGTATTTAAATTAAAACGAATTGTATTCGGTGCACCTAAATTGAATTGTATTTTGGTGTATTTAAATTAAAATGAATTACATTTCGATATACCTAAATTGAAATAAACTAGAATTTGGTTATCTAAAATGGAAAAAAAAGCGAAAAATTAATCGATTGATTAAAATATCAAAAACTTCATATAGCTATAAAGATGAATCGGCAGAAAAGATAAACAATAATGAAATGTGATACTTGTGAGGTATGGAAAAGTACAAAACATGTTTTCTATTATATGTGAAATAAGCATTTCCAACAACAAAAGAGAAGAGAAGGAAATTTTAACCTTCTGATAAAATCAAACCAATAAAATTTAAATAAATTTTTCTTTCCTTATTTTTTTTAATCAACCATAAAAAATTACTCAATTAGAATTTTACCTCAAAATTAATTCTAGAACATATAAAAGAATCAAGAAAACAAGTAATCATATTTACATGATCTATAAAAATAGACAATTTCTTCGTTCTAGCTATCAGTCATTTCCCCATCACTGAACAACGGTCATCACATAATCCACAATAATTTACGGTCATTTTTTATAAGCCATGGTAAGCTATCAGTTATTGGCTATTTCATAAGCTATAAGAAATTATTAGTCAAAGTTATTATAACTCATCGTTATTTTATAAGCTACAACAAACCACTGGCTACTTTATACGGCACTATTAATATGACCATCAAAATTCTCCAAAGTTCGATGATGTTATGATCTTTTTGTTGGAATACATTTTTTAGTTTCATTTAAACTTCTTTTTTTAACTTTACTACTCTTCATATAATAGTGATACTTTTTGATTAATGAAATATTACAACATATATATAATGAACTAAATAAACTTGTATCATAAAATTCGTTGAAATATGAGGAATCAAAATGTCTCACTATTGAGATTTATCAGCTAATCATTGAGTTATTAATAACATTTTTATCAGAAATTTATCATCATTATCAAATAACTCGTTCAAAGAAATGAAGCGAAAGCATTTTGCATGAATACTTCCAATACATTACAAAGTATATACCATATATATATATATACTTCATTGAAGTATCCAAATTATCAAATAATAAATCAATTTTGAATGAAAGAAATATTTGAGAAAGAATATTGGCATGAAAATAGTTCATTTCCTCTTCCCTATAAATCAAACTGTAAAGATTCGTGTTAAGCTATTGTATGAATAAATCGAAATTGGACCGGACTCGATGACCTTTGAAGATGGAAAGAGAATATATTTTGAATGCAAACTAATATTATATATATAGCATAATATATTTTTATACATATATAATCGGAGGAAGAATTTAACTAAAATTATAAAATAATTAATAGAAAAGTGGAATTAATTAGAAAAAGACATGCATTACTACACTGTCAATATAACTTTATAATTTGCATTTTATTTTAGCAAAAACGAAATTTCTCTTTTTTCTAAACTTAATAGGAACAAATTAAAAAATTCTAAAATTCGATTAATTTTTCCATTGTTTTCTAAATATTCCTAAATTCATTTAATTGTCGATAAATGAATGCAATTAATGAATGCTATCTGAGGCAGGTAAAAAAAAGATTAATCAATTATCATATTCATTAATTAATTACAATGAAAAAAAGTTTCCATTACTTTCGTTGTAAATTTTCAAATTCATATCTTTAAGCGACATAATTATTCTAAATACATTTTGATGTTTGAAAAAATTCAATTTAAAAAGGTTATAAATGAATATGGTCAAAGATCAGCCGACAGACGAAAGATACGAAGAAATGATGAAAAAAATTGAAACATTTAAAAGATGAAAGAAATCTGATAAAGAATTGACGATGAGGTGAAAGATGAAGAAAAAAAACGAAATGACGGAATGAAATTTGAAAAAAATTGAAATTGATCCCTAAAGATTTTTATCAAAGTAAAAAAAAAAAAGGAAATTATATGACAAAATGTTGCATCAGTTTCTAAATGTAGATTTAGGAATGTAGAATGGATGCAATTTAGGATATAGAAATGTAGAATGGATGCAATTTAGGAAGAGGATACAGTGGGAAAAAAGTAAGCATTAGAAGTACGAGCGGAAGGGAGAAGAGCTCTGAAAATGAAATTGAATTGTCGAGAGATGCGGTATCGATGGATGCGCAAACATTCCTATACAACATACATCTATCTATCTATCTATCTATTCAACCATTATCGTTGTGAACCATTTTATCTTAAATGCTTGTGTGAAAGAGAGATGGGTAAGATTGTTTGGTTTATGCGATAAAGAGAGAAGTAAAAGAGAAGCTATATGATTAATTAAAATTCATACACCTTAGAAACAAAAACAGTAACAATAAATAGAGTTGAAAATAATATATCAGATAAATACTTTTTGTCAATGTTCCTAAAATGACCTCTTTGAAAGAGGAAGAAAGAGAAGATGGACGAAAGCTATTTGAGTGCATGATTACTGCGGTCACTATGGTCAATGAATGATTTGGTAGACATTCAATTCGTCAATACGAAATGTCATCTGATTCAATGACTTTTAGATGGTATATGGAAGAGACAGAAAAGAAAATATAAAGCTGTTATAGATGTAGAATTGAGAATTAAAAATTTTTGAATCTCAAATTAACAACATTGAAAATTTATTTTTCGTTATTATTACATAAGATAGCAAATGATAATTTTATAATATCTGATGCAAACCAAAGAGAGAGAGAGAGAGAGAGAGAGAGAGAGAAAGAAAATAAAAGATAGTTTGTAAAATAAGAAAAATTTGAGAGCAATACATAAAGATATGTGAAGCTATAAAAATAGACGAAATATTTTTCAAATTGAAATTTGTTTCTACGTTTTTTCCTTTTTCCCCTCTTTTCTTTCTTTCTTGGAAAATCCTAAAATGAATAGAAAATAAAATTCGATCGAAGAGAAAGACGAAAATGACCTCTAAATTATAATAAAAATTTTTTTGAAAAAATGTAATATCTTTTTTCGCTTCATTTCTTTCTTCCTCTCTTTCTCTTTATTTCTTTAGGAAATCGAAACAAGGATTGAAAATGGATTAGTAAGAAGAATAAATAGAGTGCTCTAAGAAAAAGGATTATATAGTAATTAGATGTATAGAAGGAATATTAAGAATTTTAAATTTTGCACTTTTTAAATTGCAAATTTTACATATCAATTTATTTGCAATGATTTTTAATAAATGTATGATAACAATATACTTATTAATTGCAATATTTATTCGTGCGTTCGATTGAATTAATTATTCATTCGCTAATATATGAAAATATATTTGCATGCAAAAAAATTAGTATAAAATGAATTTTTGAATAATTATTATTGGTTAAAAATTTTGAAATATTGATTAAGTATATATCTTTAGAAGGAATATTAAGAATTTTTGATTTTGCACTTTTTTAAATTGCAAATTTTATATATCATCAATTTGTTGTTTCCAGTGATTTTTGATAATTGATGAATTTTTAAATAATTATTATCGATTAAAAGAATTAATTTTCCTGAAATATTAATTAGGTAAGATTTTAATTTGCAATAAAAAGAAAATGCTATCAATTATTTTATTGCATTGTATTATCACTTCAAATTTTACCATCATTTCAATATCAGCTAAAATTCTAATTCTAACAGACTGAAAATGAAATAAATTAGAAATTAAGAATCTTCCCCTCCCAAAACAAAGTTCGATCTAAATGAAGATACTGGTAAAAAAAGCATAGAAGAAGATGGTTCATGTAAAATAATAATAGGAATTATTTAGGACTGTTAATTTTGCATATAATTTCCAAATGTATCAATCATTATGATATGCTTAACTATTTTTACTTTTATTAAATAGACATTTAAAAAATAAATCATTCTTTATTTTTAATTATTATTAAATTCATTTATTATTAAATTTTAGAATTAAAGAAAAAATTTTTCAAATTAAATTATAAAATAATTTAAGAAATTCATTTTTGATGACATCTTTTCATCAAAAAGGCTGGTAAAATCATACTAACCAAAAAAACATTGATGATTAAAAAATATTTTGAAAAAAAAAACAATTAATTAATTAACCTTTCGATGCGTTCACGTGAATCACAACTGTAATAGGTATTTTCCGCTTTGAAGCAATTCGATACATCAACAACTGATGGATGAATGGAATGAATTTGCTTTTCTGTTCCATCTGAATTTATATTATTACTGTGTTATCAATAACAGAAAAGATTCAGGCTTTATATATATTTTTTTCCTTCTAAAATATAAGAAAGATTTATTGCTATCCCATTTATATAATGAAAATTTAATTCAAAATTTGAATTTTTCAAAAAACAAAAAAAGTATAGCGTTTAAATTAAAGATAATGCTATTTAGGATATTTTCGGATATACCCGGATTTGTATTATAAGTAAAGAATACTTTACCTATAATGAAATTAATTCAATTCAAAACTTGAGAAGGTATTTAGGATATTTTCGGATATATCCAGAATTGTATTTTAGGTAAAGAAAAAAACCAAAATTTCATAATTTATATGAAAGTTGAAAATATTGAAGATATCCTTGGATAAAAAAAGAAACTCAATTAAGTTGAAAGTTAAAATAATTGAAAATATTTATCTTATACATGTTAATAAGTATTTTGGATATTTCCCGATTTAATATCAATAAATTTACAAACCTAAATCGATCGTATGTGTAGCAGATGAGTAAGCTAGTAAACTTTCATGCGAACGACATGGCCGGAATGAATTCTGATCTCCTTGTGGTATCGGATACGGTCGAAATGTTGAATGACGATAGGATTGAATTGGTAATCCGTCATCATTGCATACATTTTCATCGGATTGTTGCAGAATATTATTTGTTATGCTAAAATTTCAAAATTTTTTAAATTATGAAAATTAAAATTTGAATTTTATTAGTTAAAAAAAATTTTGAAGAAATCTTTTGAAAAAAAAGTTATTTTAAAATATTTAAGCATTATTCAGAAAGAAACATAAGAAGAATACCTTTTAGTATTTAAATTATTATTATTTGTTATTTTGGTGGATTGACATCGTTGTATGCAAATTGATGATGACGAATGATGACGATGACGATGATGATGATGATGATATGATGATGATAATGATGGTGATAATGATAATGAGGAACGAAATTTATTAACAAGTGATAAGGATGATGAACGAATTGTCTTTCTTGTATTATATCCACAAATTGTATTAGAAATAAATCCCATTTATTTTCTAAGAATTAAGATTTTAGTTTCGCTTTTTTTACTTTCGTAAACATTGTAAAAATGAATTTTGAAAGAGTGAAAAATCATTTAACGAAGGCATAAAGGAAAAGAAATGAAAAGAAAAAAAAGATTGGAACGAAAAATTTCGTAATAATTTTGAAGATATATGAGTTATGGATAAAACCGATGATAGATTTCTTTTTTCAACAAATGTTGTCGTAACGATCTCATCTTGAGATAGAATGGAAAAGCCAGCTGAGATGCAATTTGAGAACCGGATAACAATCCGGAAGATTATCAATCTATGAAAGTGATAAAAAAATCTACCAAGAGCTTATTTTAGAAAATTTATGAAGAATCTGTTAAGAGTATATATTTCAGAAAATGTAATAGCAATTCAATATAAACATGGGACATTGGGACATGCTATTTCAAGATGAGACAACAGCCACTTCCTCTTTCCTCGAAAAAAAAGATTAAGCGAAATGGTTTTGGGGTCGGATGACAATGTGGAAAGTCGACCGGGGAATGCTGTTTAGGGACTGGATGACAATCCAGAAAACTGATTTGTGAATGATAAGAATATAAGGAGAAAAATGAAGATTAAAGTAATTTTCGTTTTTTGACAGACATTAATAATCGATAAAAATGATAAAGTCAGCGATAAAATTGCGTGTATTGATGAACATTGCTGATGTCATGAGCAGGAACTTATTTGAATGATCGCATAGGGCGGGAGAAGGAGCGGGGGAAAAGGATGAGGGTAAAGATGAAATCTTGAAGAACATCAACAAGAGCGCTAGAAGCGGGAAGAAGAAATAGAGAGAAAAAGTGTGAAAGATGAAATAGAACAATAAATTAAGCAAAGCATACGAATTGCAGTGATGTAAACTGTAATAATAACAGGAAAAATGATAATGATAATAATATTATTGTAATAATCTGTAATTAAAATTGCTATTGAAAGCAATATCGTTATAAGAATTTTAAATTAAAATTGAATATAATTATTTAAATTATATTTTAAGATTTATTTGAATAAATTTATTAATAGACGAATAAAAATAAGAAACTATAAATAAATCAAAAAAAATATATCTTTTAAATAAAATACACAAATATAATTAAAATTTCCAAATGATGTAATAATTAACATTTCAATAATTAAAATAATTAAAAAAATAATTAAAATTTCAGGAAGAAAAAAAGGAATTAAAGAAGAATTCATTTTAAGAAATTATTTGAATATAAATGAAAAAAATTGCGATTATTTTATTCACATTAAATTATTTATATAATAATTTAAAATTTAACAAAAAGTGAATGATTAAAAGTTATCATTAAGTGATAAGAAACAAATTAAAATATTGCTCTCTTTTTTCCTAATTATATTATTTAATTATTTATAAATTTTATATTATATATGACAAATATTATAAATTAAAAAAAATCTTATAGTTTAATCGTGATAATAATTGATTTATATATGTAAATTATTTAAATTTATAAATTATATACATTATGTATGAAAAAAATTGAATTGTAAATTAAAAAAAAATAATTATAAATAATCTTATAGTTTAATTGTGATAACAATTGATTTATACATATGTAAATTATTTAAATTTATAAATTATATATTATGTATGAAAAAAAATTGAATTATAAATTAAAAAAAAATCTTATAGTTTAATTGTAATAATAATTGATTTATATATATGTAAATTATTTAAATTTATAAATTATATATTACGTATGAAAAAAAATTGAATTATAAATTAAAAAAAATAATTAAAAAAATCTTATAGTTTAATTGTGATAATAATTGATTGTATATGGTAGTAAAATATTTAATAAAAATTTCAAAAATTTCCACAATCGCTATAAACAAATTCTAATTACAGTATTTTACAATTATTTCTTTTCATTTCCCTTTGCAAGTTGTATTTCTAATTTTCAACAATTCTATTAAATTTAATTTCCTTCACTTTTTTCTTACCCGATTATAGAAACCGGATCTACCACAATTTTCTGCACTTTTCCTCATCGATTAACTGGATTTTTCAATCAATGAAAAAATACAAATTTCAATCATTGAAAAACACAAAATCTCAAATATATTAGTATGTAATATTTTCGTTATATAATAAATAATTTATCCTATCAAAAAGTAATAGAAAATAATGATTTCATACTGTTGGTTATCAATAATTAATTATAATTAACTATTATATAATTTCACATTGTTAATAATAATGGTAATTATTGACAGCTATTTAATCAAATAACCAAATAAAAAATTAATATTGGTTAATTAAATACAACTTTTGTTCAATTATATATAAGTATATAATAAATAATTTATCCTATCAAAAATTAACCGAAAATAATAATTTCATATTGTTGGTTATCATTAATTAATTATAATTAACTATGATATAATTCCATATTGTTAATAATAATAGTAATTTAATTAATTAATCAAATTTAATTTTCATTCAATTAATACTATGCATATTGTTAATAGTAGTAATTAATCAATTAAATTTAATTTTCATCTAATAATATTAGTGCTATTCTTATTTAATAATCAATGTTAAATTTAATTCTATTTTTCTTTTTTTTTAATTGACAGCTATTTAACCAAATATTAATGTATTAAATCATTAAAGAAAAAGAAAGAAAATTGTCGGAATTAGCAACAAAAAAATCAAGCAAAAAAGAGAGTGTGATAAGAAAGAGAGAAATATTTAGAGTTAATGTTATTTATTTAGTAAAAAGATTAAAATAGCAAAAAATGATAGATGAAAAGAAAAGAAATGCATTTGTACAGCTAATAGAATTATTGATAAATGAAAAATTTCGTAAAGAACTGAAAAGATAGAAGACAACGTATTATTCAGCTGTCAATATTTTTTTGTATGATATTTTTACAATTTAAAAAATATCGATTAGTTAATAAATTAGCCAATGGATAGTTTTGTTTACAGCTTTTTTCTTTTTAAATTTTATTAAGTAAATAAGATACGTATAAATTTAGAATTTAATTAGAATTTAATTAATTTATAATTTAATTCAGAATTTCATTAGTTTCAAGTGAATTTTTCAAGAATATAGGTATAGGAATACTATAGCTGGTAGGAATGTTTTTTGAACAAGTAAAAATTGTGCTGTTATTTTCCTAGGAAACATGAAATCGAATAAAAGAATTAGTATTGAATATATTATTAAGTATGCAATTTTAGAAGTAATTCTGAATAGAATCTTTTTTTTTTTCACTTTCCTTTTATTTTATTTGATAATATATCAATAGTTGAAATGATATGTTATCAAAAAAAAGTTAGAGTAAACAAAAATGGAACAAATAAAATTGATAAAACATAAAAGAACTTATTTACAAATAATATGCAAATCAATATAAATTATTCAATTTCAGGCAAATTTATTTGACAGCTGTAAATTAATTTTCGTTAAAAAAAAACTAGCATAATATGATTTTCTCATATTTATATGCCTTAAAAATATTTATTACATTTTAATTTATGCAATGAATTTTTGAACGAACCATAAAAAACGATAAAAAACAGTGTTCGTAAAAAATTTGCATATTGCTTGTAAGTTATTGATAAGGTGAATAAAATTTTTGTTGAGTACTTTGATAACATTAATTGAAAATGATAATAAACCATTTCATCTGCTTAAACAGTATGTTCATTGAACTAAATATTCTACAATAACTTTTACTTTAATTATTAAATTAATTTTTGAATAATCAATTGCATGAAAAATGGCCAATTTTCATGTAAATTAAGTAATTAGTTAAAAATTTTATGCAAATTAATAGATAAATCAAATTTCGTGCAAAGTAGTAGATTAATTAAAAATTCGTGCAAATTAATAAAAACGCAAATTAATTAGACGATTCGTTGCAAACTGATATGTTAATTAAAATATTCGCGTAAATTAATAAATTATTTAAAAATTTCGTGCATATTGACAGATTAATTTAAAATTTCGTGCAAATTAACAGATTAATTAAAAATTTTGTGCAAATTGACAAATTAATTCAAAATTTCGTGCAAATTAATAGATTAATTAAACAATTCGTGCAAATTAATGGGTTATTTAAAAATTTCGTGCAAATTGACGGATTATTTTTAAATTTCGTGCAAATTAATTTAAAATTTCGTGCAGATTAATAGATTAATTAAAAATTTCATGTAAATTAATAAATTAATCAAAAACTTACAATTCATTCCGATTTGTCGCACGTTTTCTTTCCAATTTTGTTGCACTTTTGGTACGTTTCAATGGATTACTGCGAAATGGCCTCGAAAAGAAATTCTAAAATAAATTGAAATAAAAATGAGTAATATATTTTTAAGTCATTTCAAACTGAACAAATAAAATCAAATAAGTTGAAAATTATAATATGCGACGAAAATTAAAAATATCATAAAAATAATGAAACAAATTTTAGTGATTAATTTAAAATTTCTTTAAAAAAATTATCACATAATTTAATAAATCAGTTAATTATTCGATGGTTTGATAAAGAACAAAAACAACTGGAAAAAATAGCAGCGAGAATTTATAAAAGATGTGCGGAAAAGATAAGAATGATAAATTAGCATTACTGTAGGATGATAGATTAAGAATATTGTAGGATGATGGATTCGGAATACTGTGTAAGATGCTGGATTACAAGTAGTAGAATATTGTAGGATGGTGGTATACTTTGGAATACTGTGAGATGTTAGATTACAAGTACTGTATTAAATAAAAATATTAATGAGATTATGATATGAAAAAATTTATCAGACTTGTATCAGTCTATTCAATATTTAATCACTGTTTGAATCAGTAAGAAAATTTTAATTGAATCGCCCTAATACCATAATTCATTATCATAGAAATGAAAAGTTTGATGTTATCGTGTTGTGTATGATAGAACACTTTCATCAACGATAAAATATATGCCAGATAATTTTTTCCGAAAT